AAATCTTCGATGTTACCATCAATACCGGGCCAATAGACGAAGCTACGAGCGATTGCCTTCATTCTGCTTTTACCGGGATGTGCAGAATGGAATTGACGAAGGACAGCTTGTTGAAGACAGACAGGAATGACGACTCGATCGTCAGTCATGAGGCAGGAATCAACTACAGAGAGAGATTCTCGCCGCTGGAACAGTTGCTTAAGTTCTCCATCTGGTGGTGTTAGGCCAGCGTGGCTGAATGTAAACCATAGCTTGGCAGAGAACAGTGTTCTGTGCAGTTGCGTGACGTACATCGGCGGCGGTAACAGGGAGGCTACGAATAGCGTTTGAAAACCACTGACGAACATCTTCCTCAACGTTGACAGCGGCGATCACCGTAACTTCGTTTGCATCGTGCTTGGGGGATTAAGCGAGAGAGACCGTCAGCTTAACCGAAATCCTGGGTGCGGCAGTAGCACAATTCGTAATATTATCCAAAAAGGATAACGGCCCACCTTTGAAGGTGGCTAGCTGAGTATGTCAGGATGACCTTCTTGGAACCAAAAATTGACAGCAACAGCTTGTGGTCGGTCTGTAAGGTGAAATGCTGACCACAGCATTTTGCGGAATTTCCTTACGGCAAAAACGTTGGCCAAGACCTCCTTCACGACCTGAGCGTAGTTCTTCTCTGCGGACGTCAGTGCGCGGGAGGCGTGCATGAAGGCTTTCTCAGAACCATCATGGAAGCAGTGGGAGAGGACTGCTCCGATCTCGTAATTGGAAGCATCGGCAGCGACAATAATTGATAAGATCCTGTTGTAATGCGTCAGTAGCAGATCAGAACTGATCATAGTTTTCAGGCGCACGAAAGCCTTCTTGCATGCGGATGACCAGTGCCAAAGAACGTCTTTTTGCTAAACTCAATTGAGCGGGACCTGCACATCGTGTAGCGAAGGTAAGAAGGCGCTGTAATAACTGATGAGGCCAAGGAAAAACCACAACTGACAGACATCTTCGGGGGCGGCATCTGTTGAATGGATCGGGCGTTTCCGGTATTAGGATGACGACCATTAGCATCGAAGACAAACCCGAGATACTTGATCGACCGAAGAAAGACTTGACATTTGTCTGCTCTCTGGTGGGAGCCATAATCCTGGATACGTCGTATACACGGACCAGATGTTTTTAATGCTCTTCTGGGGTTTGGCCAACCATAAGGAGATCGTCCAGGTAGGCGACCGTACTCGGAATGCTAGAGATCATCGTATCCGTCGTCTGCTGTAACGGGGCTGGGGGGGTCTTGACAACAAACTGCAGCCTGATGTACTGGAAAAGTCCGCGGGATGTGTTGATCATCAGAAGCGGTTGCGACTCAGAAGCCACCTAGATCTGTAGGTAGGCGTCTCCTAGGTTGACCTTGGTGAATCACGTCCCACCATTGAGCATCGTGAAAGTGTCGTTTGGCGATGGTAATGGGTAGCACTTTGGCTCTAATGCAGCCTTGAGGCCAGTAGAGAAATCGGCACAGATGCGAAGAGATGCATTCGGTTTCTTGACCACAACGATCGGGGCTGATAAGGCTGAGTAGGACATGGGTACCAGGACACCCATATCTTCCAAACGTTTCAGTTCAGCATCGGCCAATGGTAAGGCTGCGTAAGGGATTGGCCTTTTTAGAGGAAATACCGGTTGAGATTCGGGAGCGAGCTGTGACACGACGCGAGTGCGTCTACAGCGGCCAAGACCATCCTGGAATACTTGAGCGAACTGTTTGCTGATTTCGTCAGTTTAGTCAGTTGGTACTGCCGGGGATTGTACCGCGTTGCAAATGGTCCGAAAAGGTAGATCGACCAAGCCAAGGTGATCGAGCCAATCAAGACTAAGGAGGTTGATCTTGGCCATTGCCATGTAGCAGATCCCGTCCGATGTGACGCCTCGAAAGGAAACGCGGCACTGCAGCTGCCCAGTTAGCCACAAGCGGCCACCGCAGGTGCTGGTGGCGGGTTGTAGGGTTGGGTCGAGCGGTGGTTTGCCAAGGGATCGCCAGAGTTGTACGAAGATGATCGTGATTTCCGAAACCGTGTCCAATTGCAATCGAACAGGCTGCCCATTGATCAGGACGTGGACCTTGACTTGGAAGGTGGCCAGCAAGCTCATGCAGCTGCCAACCGGACCAGTTTTGGTCTTACCTCTGGATCGATACCACTTCATTTAACTGCGGTTGAAGATCAGGCTTGTTTTGATCGGCTTGGATTGTGCGGAGATGCGGGTGGGGGTCAGCCCACGTTTGACCACTTTTGTACATCGTAGGATTGCAGTAGTCATCACGGTGCCCCACCCTGTCACAACGCTGGCATCCTTGCTGGTGGAAGTTGCAGTCTCGGTGGAGATGCCAGGTGCCACAGAATCGGCACGGATTGGGTGGTGACTTCGCTCGGTTTAGTTGGGAGAGCCGCTCAGAAGATTGCGACTTGGGTGCGGCGACAGCCTGAACTAGACCAAGTGCGGATGCATTCCGGATTATCGCGGACTCATGTTTTAGATTGACCAACGCTTGATACTCCTCGGCCAGTTTCTGGAGTGTGATCGTACTGTCCTGCTGCAGCTTGAACAGAAGACGCGTTCGGATGTGGACATCATGAGAGGGCTGGAGGCCGGAAATGAAAACCAGACACTGGAACTGGTCTTCAGTGAAGAAGCCAAGCTGGAACCGTTCGCATTCCCGATTGACGATGCCCGCGTACGTGATGAAGTCGTCGGCATCTCGTTTGGCCAGGTGGAGATATTGGAACCGGATGTTGAACAGCGAGGACTGTTCATCAAACATCTGCGACAGCGTGCGGACCGTCTCGCCAAAGGTAACGTCTCGGGGGTGCTTTGGTAAGATGAAGTTGACATACCGTTGGTGCTCGACCGTGCCCAGTTTCCGTCTAAGCAGCCGGACCTTCTACGTGTCATCCCGACAAGCCCGGTTAACGATGAATACTTCCTCATACCGTTTGTACCATGAATGGGAGGTGACGCGAGCACCTTGATCATAGAGTAACTCCGAGATACCGCCAACAATTTTGTCGACCGATTGGGAATCACCAGCGGCACCTGACTGAGTGAAAGAACTGGAGCGTTTCTTGGTTAGTGCGGACATCAAACTGAACTGTTGTTGAAATAGCGACTTAAACTCATTGTACAGTCTCCTTGCTTCGAACACTCTGTCGCCGCTTTGTTATGACTGCTTCTTAGGTCTGATCAAAAAGTGAATATCTCAGGAGTTGCAAAGCTGATCGAAATATGTGCAGTGGTCTGAATGCGAGACCCATTGCCTTCCGTTATTTCAGCTCGCAATCATGTGGGGACGTTTGGTCCCCATAACATAAATGGTCACATTTGGTCGCAAAAGTGAGTGATCATTGACCGTCTAGCCTGTCCCATTGGCTTTGACACGGCGTCTTACGAGCTCCTGTGGTATTTACTGAGGAACCAGGTGACAAGCTCAGTACCTCTAAGCTGTAGGATGCTGCTGTTGATTGTCCGCGACAGCTTATTCATCTCCCGTACGAATAGCTGAAACTTATTCATAGTTATCTTCGCAAGAAAGGCGTTCCCCGATCCGCAACCTGGGGACGCGCCCGGTGGCGTACAGCTCCGCTGAACCAACCAGTAGTTACGATATAGAAGCAAATGTTGGTAGCTCAGGTTGTTTAGTTGGTTGTCTGATTGTTCGCTGAGCTCGGCACGTTGACTGCAAACGTTTCGTCACCACTCGAGGTGACATCGTCAGTGCGCGTGTATTTAGCAGAGTGGCGCGTACGAAGCGTCAGTGAGTGTTAGTGATCGATCTCCTAGCCGCTAGTCTGAGTTTGAATTGTTCGACGAGCACATGACCATAGAAATCGATCTCTGATCCTCACCTCGTAGTGTACGCGCGTGTGACTTTTCGCTTGTCATCGTTTGATGCAATAGTCTAGCGCTCTGTTCCGTTAGATTTCTTCTACTAATTCGGAGATCTTTCATTCCTAGTGCTGTATATATAGCATCTATTTCAACGTGGCGGTTTATTGAACTGTCGGTAGAATACAATGCTTCCAAGAATTCTCTAGCTTGCCTCGAATTTCCACGGGCTAGGATCTTAACGTTCTCTAGGTCGAAGTGGTCGCCTTCTTGGTCTTCATGCATGGAAACTAAAGAATGCGGGTCGTGTCTCCGTATGACCATTCTGCGTTCGTTGATTCGTGTCGATAGTTTCTATCAACATTTCATACTGTCTTATCGTCTTATTCGCTGTCCAGCTCGTGTTTTTATCGAACTAGTTACAGTCTTCAAATTCTTGGAAGATACTTAGAACCGACCGATTAGTCATGAGTTCAGAGAGCTTTGCAAACTATCGGTTAATATAGTAGTTTGGTCACGTTTCGCTCTTGACCCAAGAGCTTCGTCAGACCAGGTGAATCAATGTGCAATTGGAGTGGGATTTTATACATATTTATAAGTAAACATACGCGACTAGGAAACCCACATGATCAGAACACGGTTAACCCGCTCGTCTCATTCGGTGTCACTCTGTCATCCTTGGCGTATGAGAACCGACCATGGCGGTGCCATGAAAGAGCATTTCACGAGACGGTTTCAATTGATCCTCGATTATCTTGCCAGTTTGCCATAACTACCACCGCAATAATCCAACCGTTCACTCAGCCAGATGAAGCTTTTGTGTCAGAAGCAAAACGTTGTCAATAAACTACATTAATCGGTTGTATTCAATCAAGATTTTAATACTTTACCTCGTGCGCGAAACTGTCATCAAGCTGTCGTTGCTCACACACTGTTTTTCATTCTTCTCTATCGCATTACCACAAAGCTGATAATTAGTGATTACATCTTCATATTACGACTTTTCCCGTCATCAATATGACCATTCTGTGCCACGATTTATGCACAGCATTGTCACAGGTAATCCACAATTTTCCACCTGTTCTACCTGCGTGGTTGATCTTCGATTATTCCTTTTCTGTTTCCCAATCCAGACGTACGCCCCCATAGGTGTGATCGTTGTGGTAAATCGTTTTCAGTGAAGAACACTTTGCAAAGGCACATCAGTTCTGTTCATTTAAGTGAGTATGTAACCGAAGACTTTATTTGTTTTGATATCATTGATGGTTTCACTTGTTTCCCGTCGGATAAACACTGCGTACTTTTCTATTTGAAACCATCTGGTGCCTTTATACCATTCTCACCTTAACTTGGACACCCTGTAAACCACCTTGGAGGTTTTACAAAACATATTAGACGTTTTGCAAATCACACCAAATGTTTTGCACAACAGATTGTACACTTTGCAAATCGAAATGGACCCATTATATTCTAAGCAAGAAATCCGCAATTTTCTAGCAACAAATGAGGAGTAAGGCGACTAGACCATGTTCACACTACATTGTGGTCATGCTAATGCTAACCGAATCGTGTAACTAGCGGGTGCCACCACAAACACTTATCTTGCTCGTACAAACGCGGTGACTAAGTTTCTCCCTGTCCGCATCGGCCTTAGCATCGTTTATGTCGCTGTGCCCTCCTCACGCATGAACCTGTGTGGCTGTGTGACAATTGGAAAGTCAGACTCCCCAATCGCGTAATCTGTTATGACTTAAACAATTGTTACTTAGCATTGGAGGGTGGTTGTGAAGCACTCGTTTTGAGAACGGGTTCCGATTCGCCATCTCAATGTGGACCGCCATACCCACTGAATTAAACGTTGGCCAAATCGAGCACTTTGGAGTGTATCTGAGCTAGTAGACAGGCGACGATCCAGCTGTCCCCCATCACTCTATGCGCCTTCGCGTATTTTGTGTGGGCCAACCTATTCAGCTGCTCGATTATTAGGTCAGTGCAGGCTATCATGACTTTAGCAAACAAGGCATTGTTTTATTAGCCTACTGCTGCAAGTTGCTAAGATAGAAAGGGGAATAACTCGACTGGACCTTGTTCAGACCACACTGCGGTCACGCGAACACAACGGAACTGTACAAGCATTTGGCGAATGTGCAAGCCTTCATCTTAATCACGGGCGTCGTTCGCTTTGATCACACCAGGTGACCCGAATATCCCTGTCTCTCTATGTGTATTCGCCTATTTTATTTGGGTGGGTGGGCGAACACATGCAGCTACTAGTCATAACAGACTACGTGTAAAATAAGCCGCCATCCATCAAGGAGAAGAAGATTGTGTAGTGACACGAAAATCTTTAGTGCTGAACCATGGTTTATTTTATACCACATGTTACTCTTTTCTGCGTTGTGTCGCACTCGCCATGCGTTTGCAGTTATTGGTCCGCACTCCTCGATGCTGCATCGTTCAGGCAACCGAAACCCGTTGGCGACGATGATGTTGATTGGTTCCGTGAGCCGTCTCGATGTACCAGTGGTCAAAGACCTACGGCCTGTAATTTGCGGTCCGTCGGCTTGATACTGACGAGCTCAATCAGACTCCTGGCGATGCTGATTGGTTTTGTATCGGAGACGTTCCTTCGCCCGCATAAACCATGATCTTCTTCTCGTAGGCGATCCGTGCCTCTGATTGGTTGTCTAGTGTAGTAACTGCCATACGAAGTGATGCATCCACCGTTTGTTTGTTACTCTCACAGACGGCCTGTGCTGGTGACGGGCAGCTAGGTGTATCGACTTCCATCGCGGTCTGCGTCGCTGATTACCTGAATGGTGTATCGGCCTCTGTCACAAGAAACCCTGTCTGTGTCGTTGACCGGCCGCTTAGCCTATCTACCTCCGTCGCATCCCTCGTTTTTTTGTAGTTCTATTTTTAAGCTCCACACTGCCTTCCACTGCGGGTGGTCTTGCGGACTTGGGCTGCAGTGTCAGTCGGAACGTTCTACTGACGTGGCTGCTCCGCACGATGTTGCGTGTTTTCGCACCATTGCCTTCTCAGATGCATCCGATTGAGCCGAATGATATTTTCCTAGACCTTTACTTCTAGCTTCTCACTCCCTTAGGTCTTTCTATTCGACTCCTTCTCTAACACCCGGCCGACTACATTGTAATCATGCTAATACGGACTGAATTATGTATGCAGCGGGTTCCACTTCAAACCATTCTCTTGGTCCTTAACCTCGATCAAGTTGATCAAGTGCTGTGACTAGGTCTCTCTCTCTCTCCGCCTTAGCATTCGCGTAGTTCGTGTGCCTGTGCCTTCATGCATGAGCCTGTGTAGCTGTGTGGTTATTGGAACGTCAGACTCCCGAATCTGGTAGTGTGCCAGAGGTAGATAAGCTAAGCGGCCGGTCAACGACACAGACAGGGTTTCTTGTGACAGAGGCCGATACACCATTCAGTTAATCAGCGACGCAGACCGCGATGGAAGTCGATACACCTAGCTGCCCGTCACCAGCACAGGCCGTCTGTGAGAGTAACAAGCAAACGGTGGATGCATCACTTCGTATGGCAGTTACTACACTAGACAACCAATCAGAGGCACGGATCGCCTACGAGAAGAAGATCATGGTTTATGCGGGCGAAGGAACGTCTCCGATACAAAACCAATCAGCATCGCCAGGAGTCTGATTGAGCTCGTCAGTATCAAGCCGACGGACCGCAAATTACAGGCCGTAGGTCTTTGACCACTGGTACATCGAGACGGCTCACGGAACCAATCAACATCATCGTCGCCAACGGGTTTCGGTTGCCTGAACGATGCAGCATCGAGGAGTGCGGACCAATAACTGCAAACGCATGGCGAGTGCGACACAACGCAGAAAAGAGTAACATGTGGTATAAAATAAACCATGGTTCAGCACTAAAGATTTTCGTGTCACTACACAATCTTCTTCTCCTTGATGGATGGCAGCTTATTTTACACGTAGTCTGTTATGACTAGTAGCTGCATGTGTTCGCCCACCCACCCAAATAAAATAGGCGAATACGCATAGAGAGACAGGGATATTCGGGTCACCTGGTGTGATCAAAGCGAACGACGCTCGTGATTAAGATGAAGGCTTGCACATTCGCCAAATGCTTGTACAGTTCCGTTGCGTCCGCGTGACCGCAGTGTGGTCTGAACCTATTCCATTCCTGGTAATCCCCTTTCTATTTTAACGAGTTTTAACAATGGTTTATTGCAAGTAAAAAATTATTGCTTAACGAGTCACGTGGGATGGAAATTATTGCGAAAACTGAAGTGTATGATAAAGTGAAATCGTTTTGATGGACTTACCATAGACTTATGTAGAATAGCGGCGATGTTCCCGTACAAAACAAATAAATCCACAAATCCATTGGTTTTGAGTGTTGCAAGGCATCCTTTGACTGCGTTTTGTAGCCCCTGGCTAACAATTCATTAAATGAAATGTATATGAGACAACACATCGTCTACTCGTTTTTTTTGAAATTTCGCCAGATTAGGAGCAGAGACGACTTAATTAGGGAAGAGAAATTTCTACGGCATTCAAACTAGCTATACTGTCTTGTCATTTTCAGCAATTGACCTCTTAGGATAGCGTTGTGGTGAAATTTCAGCAGCTGACGGCAAATGTGGTTTTGGTTCTTCCAAACCTGGTAAACCATTATGAGATCCCCTCCGCAAACCCGATATCTACTGCTTTACATTCTTAGCGATTTCAGTCTAAGCTAATAAGGCAGATAAAAGAGGCCCCTGACGTTCTTGGTTGCCCTTCGTTGAGGAGTCTCGAGAGCAACAAGATCCTGCTTCTGCCACGGGTGCCACACCTGAATAGCAAATTCCACGTGCGGCCGCAGGTAGGCGTTAAGCATTTGGAGACAGATTACCTGTTCAAACCGATCGAAGGCTCTGCGAAGAAGCCCAAAGCGTTGCTTGCCGGTTCTCTTCGCCTTCTCTGCTTGTTTTAAACACCAGAGATCTTCCTGTACTAATACACCCAGGTCACGCGCCTAAGAAACCTTCTCCAAGATGTGGTTTCCAAGCTTGTAAGCGCTCACCGGCTGGTGACGCAGATGTATCACCTTGCACTTAACTATGTTCAGTTGAACCAGCTTCTTCTTTGACCATTCGTAAATGCAATTGAGGTCATGTTGGAGTAGATCGTGATCTTCATTGTTACTACTCGCCCGCCATATCTTGACGTCATCGGCGAACAGCAGGAAATTTGATTAGATAACTCTTGCCAAGTCGTTGATAAACACCAAGAATAAGCGCGGTCCCAGCACTGAGCCTTGTGGAACAACACATTCTACCTCAGTTGGGTTACTTGGTAACTTGATTGTACAAGGGACTATTAGCGATCAGTTCATGTAAGTCTGCTTTGAACTGTTCACTGTGTGATGCCGATACCTCCAGATCGTGTAGATTGAAGTCCCCGGAGATGAGAACGTGGTTGTACATAGTGCCTGTTACTCTGTTCAGGCCACGTATCGAGCGGGAATCCATTTCCGGAGTGGACGTCGGGGGCCGGTAGACGACAGCTACGAGACTTGCGTCTTTGTGTCTTAGTCGTAGACGGCACTAAGTGAGTCGGTAACGTGTGTTTCCAGATCATCAACTATTGCACATTGCAGATCGCTGCGGTAGTAGAGTAGGGCCCCACCTCCTCTGCTGGGGGTGTCATTCCGGATGAGTGACATTCCGGCTATCTCATCCTCAGCATCATTCACCTCTTGGTGTAACCAAATTTCGGTAATGCAAATTAAGTCCCAAGCATTCGCAACCGGACGTAGCCGAAGTTCGGTAAGTTTACTGAGGAGCCCTTGGGCCTTAATGTTTCGGAGGTTGTGCAACTCATACGTGAAGCTTCGCCGACCAATGAGTGCCCGGCGACTAATCGTTTTTTTTTCGATATTTACTTGGTGAAGAGTTTAACGTCTTATTCATCGCCCGTGTAGTTAGTCCTGTGTCTAATCTTCTACGTACAGTGTAAGGAGTCTGGTCAATATCATCTTCTACAGGTTGTATAGGCTCATTCGACACACTACTAGTGCATTGTTCTTTCATAGATCCCATCAGGTTTGGTTCTTTGAGTGAAATATCATTCATAGGAGGCATATCGCGGACTGTCTTCAGCCGAAGCTCAGATGGTAGCCTGCAACGAAACATCTACCAGCTTGTTAGCAGCCGTGTTACCATATGTTTTGAGTGAAGGACCACCTTCAACACTGTCGGGCCATTTCCTTTGTAGTTCACTGAGGTACGCAGCCGTGACACGGATTTCGTTAACACATCATCCAAACAGAGTGTTTCACGAATATAACACCACTGTTCTTTATCATGGGTTGTTGTTTCATGCTCACCACATGCTTCAGTTTCAGGAACCCCGTGAAGAAGTATGGTTCTGGTTGAAGTTCCCTTCCGGTAGTCCTCAAAGTTGCGGTTAACTCGATAACGATCCTTCCATGGGATGTCTGGAAAGATGGAACAGTGTTCATTTCTGAAACTACCTGTCGACAACAGTACTGATGCTACTTCAGTGATGGAGTTCAGCACAACACGCAGAAGTCTTGTCTCTCCGAAATGTTTAGAGTTGGGGTGTCGTGTAATACGCATTACATGTACAGGTTTCAGTACAACTCCGATTAGGTTACTAATAACATCCACTGGTTGCGGTCATCCAACTGCCTGCCTCTTATTGATATCCACTTTGATTCGGGGATATTGGAGCACAGTACGCTCAGTACAGGCAGTTGTTTCTTTGCACCTTTCGATATGTCGCGGTTAATGATTGAACTACTGGGAGATGTACTGCAGGAAACCGGTGGTGCTTGCACTAGGAAAACTCCGCTACTCTCCCCACTTTCCGATTCATTTGGAGTTGATGTTAATTTTAAATGACGGCTCTTCTTGGAAGCAACTGTAACCCAACTTCTGTTAGTACTGACTTGCTCTTTTTCTACACACTCTGTCGGGAGTTTGGAAGTAGCCTTACGTTTAGTTACTCCGATCGAACATGGAACCGCTTTAATCAAATGTGAGGCACGGGTGGTATTGGGACAGCTGTTGATGTCCTGGACTCTAGGTGTCGTGTTCCTTACGGTGTTACTAGCAGTTCTTCGCAGGATAGAAGCAGCACTTACGGAAGAGGATTGGGGTTGCACAGTCCGCTACACTTACCCCAACCGTAGTGATTTTTGTGGTCACCATTTCCTCACACTTGGCTAGTAGCTGGTCATACTTCTGAGATAATAGGAGCACACCTTTTATCAGTGGGATCGATGTGCATTCCACACAGAATCATAGAGAGTCTGGTTTGTCTAATCACTTGGCCTGACTAGGCTTAACTCGGAGGCATCTCGCATTGAAGAACTTGCAACAGTTACGGCACAAAATGCCCCCTTAACAAGTTTGGAACATGACCAACATAGGTCTTTAGTCTGTGGCACACTGGGCATCACACCTGTTGAGCAAATGTTACGAACCATTTGAATGACTCACCCTCTATGGTAAAAGATCATTCTGTTATTGACGTTGTCGGTAAGGTCACAGTGTTCACATTGCAGTTGTGTGCTTGCAGACTGTCCTCTCTGGCGTGTCAGTCGAATGTGTCAGCTTGAAGGTGGCTCAGATTACACGAAGGTGTGATGGCGAATTTTCGTGGTTAAGCCCATGGATCGCGCCGGATGAATTTGTCTTGAGACCTGTAGCTGCACCAAGCAGTGTTGGAGTTGAACGAGTGACAGTTCGTTCGAAAGCCGTTGAATGGTCTATCGAATGAGACCAAACACTGTCTCCCATGGTTGGAGTTAAGCAACTTTTGGCGTTTGGATATCGGTGAAACACTCCCCGGAATTTAGAATTGAAGCTTAGTGTAGAATATGTACTGGAGCAAATGGTATCACAAGGTGGAGCTTTTAAAAGCACGACGAATGAGTATAGATCCAAAGGTGTGCGACAAAATGCCGCTGAGCCACACTGAAAAAATCACAAGTGAGCGATCTGCAAGCAGGTTCGCTGAACCTTGTTTGCTAGAGTCATGATAGCCTGCACTGACCTAATAATCGAGCAGCTGAATAGGTTGGCCCACACAAAATACGCGAAGGCGCATAGAGTGATGGGGGACAGCTAGATCGTCGCCTGTCTACTAGCTCAGTTACACTCCAAGGTGCTCGATTTGGCCAACGTTTAATTCAGTGGGTATGGCGGTCCACATTGAGATGGCGAATCGGGACCCGTTCTCAAAACGAGTGCTTCACAACCACCCTCCAATGCTAAGTAACAATTGTTTAAGTCATAACAGAGTACGCGATTGGGGAGTCTGACTTTCCAACTGTCACACAGCCACACAGGTTCATGCGTGAGGAGGGCACAGCGACATAAACGATGCTTAGGCCGATGCGGATAGGGAGAAACTTAGTCACCGCGTTTGAACGAAGTTCACGAGCAATGTAAGGGTTTGTGGTGGCACCTGCTAGTTACACGATTCGGTTCGCATTAGCATGACCACAATGTAGTGTGAACATGGTCTAGTCGCATTTGTTGCTAGAAAATTGCGGATTTCTTGCTTAGAATATAATGGGTCCATTTCGATTTGCAAAGTGTACAATCTGTTGTGCAAAACATTTGGTGTGATTTACAAAACGTCGAACATGTTTTGAAATACCTCCGAAGTGGTTTCTGGCGTGTCCAATTTAAAGTTAAAATGGGTATTGTCATGCTTCCGCAGTGCTGTTACTCTACACCAACTCATTTGCTTGTCTAGTTTATTGATTTATATCCGATCTGTTCAGCTAAGTCTTCGCAACTTTTGTTTATTTTTGCGCTGCAATAGTTTTCGATTACGCCCTTTTTCAGCGATTTTTCCGCCCCTTACTTCGTGCTTGAAGGAAGCTAGTTCCATTATTTGTGGGTTAACATACCCCCTTGGAAAATGTGCATCCTCAGGATGCTACCAGTTAACCATTACTCCGTTCGGTGACACTGTCATTCTTGGCAGTGTCTTGCGATGACATTTCATTCCCTCTTCTAGTAATACATGATCGGTCCGAAGTGCTCCTCACTTTTCTTACCATTTTGCTATAAGTACCACTCCAGTCGACCAGTCAGAAGCGGAACGTAGTCCACTGACTACATCAATCGGCTGTTTACTATCAAGACATTGGCACTTTACTTCTTGTTTGAAACTGACACCAGGCCCTTGCTACTCTCAGGTTCCCCATACATTGTTTTTCAACCTTTTTTGCATTGATACATAGCTGGAAATAAGTAGCCACGTCTTCACATTGCGATTCCTCCGTCATCGATATGACTCTCCTGTGCTAAGATATAAGCACATTATTGTAACCGATTGTCCACAATCCTCCGCCTGTTTTCCCTGCTCGGTTGATCTTCGATTATTCGCTTTTTGTTTCTCACTCCAGACGAACGTCCCCATACGTGTGACGGTTGTGGTAAATCGTTTCCCGTAAATGGCACTTTACAAAGGCATATCCGTGTAGTTCACTTAGGTGAGTTTCTGCTTGTCTTTCGCTATTGTCGATGGTTTTACTTGTCTGCAGCGTTATTATTACTTTGAATTCTGGTGTTATTGTGCTTCTTTTCATTATGCACGTACCTTGATATATATATATATATATTTACATATATGCAGCGTATTGAATTCCTGCTGCGAACCGTTCGTTGATGCTTTGGCCTTCGCAGATGTTAATATGCGGCATCCTATCTGCTTCGTCGAGCACGGTGCATAGGGGTTGGGATGCTGCTGTTCAAGCCTTCCTGTGTCGGTTTTCCCCCTCTGGCTTTTCTACTCTTATCGTCCCGTCCCAACTACACTTTCACCCCTCCCCCCTCATTTTAAACCCCCCAATTCTTGGCCCTTCTCCTCCTTGCTTTGATAGGCGTTTAGATTCTCTACCACATAACCCGCATGTTAACGCATTGTACCAAGCTTTTAGCGTGGCACGTTTTCGAAACCGCGTGCAGTTCTTTTAAGTTAGCGAGGCTAAGAACGCTGTTTTGGCGTCGTTAACACTCTCACTGTTCATGGGACGTTAGCCAATGGGACACCGGTTGGGAGACCACAGCATAAGCGACAAACAGTGCAATGAAAGTGGTCGAGCAGCACGTTCTGTTCCATTTTGATGCCTGTCTGAAGGAAACCGACCACTAAGTATAGACCGCTTCACGTGCTGGTTACTATGTCTGTCCGCACTGGTTACGGCTTAAGCTTCGGATCATGTGGTAGCTAGGGTCTTCTCCTTAGACAGGTATCACAAGTTTCTCATTGGAGGGTTTCAGTTTGGAAACCAGTCATCGAGGTTTCCTTCAGATAGGCATCAAAATAGAACTGAAGGTGCTGCTCGACCACTTTCATTGGACTGTCTGTCGCTTATGTTGGGGCTTCCAACCGGTGTCCCATTGGTTAACGTCCCATGACCAATGAGAGTGTCAACGACGCCAAAACAGCGTTCTTAGCCTCGCTAACTTGAAAGCACTTCACGCGATTTCGAAAATGTGCCACGCTATAAGCTCGGTACAATGCATTAACATGCCTGTAAAATGGTATAGTCTGAGCTCGCATGCAAATGCGAAGCGTCACTCCTGCCATGTCGGCAAGCCCAGATCATCGGCTTCCGTTTGGTGCCCTCGATCCTCCCTCAGATTGATATGCCTCAATGTACGCAGTGTTACAGATCGGTCAACCGGCAGCACTTGTCCAAATATTATAAACCCTCACGATCGATATCTGCTACTTGTCGGAAACCCGCCCACAAGGCTGGAGCTCTGTGCTTGCTTTGCGATCCTCTTCAGGTGACGCCGGTAGTGCTTTCTCATTGCGGATACACGGAGACTATATATATATATATATATATATATATATATATATATATATATATATATATATATATTTATATATAGCAACAGTCCACGAATAAACAAGAGCCATCAAAAACCATGGGGCTCAAAAGAAGATACAGAAATAGTAAAAGAAAATACAACACAACACACTAAAGTCCATGGTTTTGTCAGAGGGCGCGATACTACCCAGTTGCCCAAACCGAAGTAGGGCGTTGACTTAGGGGACACCACCCCGAGCCTTTGGATGAATAGCCTGCCCGCAAGGCTGGGGTGCGAATTCAGGGAATCGCGCTCATTGGGAGCCGGTGACTGATTGCTCAGTTCATACGCCTTTCCTTTGTTCCTTTGTCAAACAATGGCCCAATGCTCCCAGAATTACAACATAAAGTTGTTGGGATACAATGCTTCGCCAGGATGAAGCAAGGGGTAGTGACTTTATTTAGTTGCGAGTCACGTCCGCCACGTCACAGTGTTGTTAAACGGACATATGTGGCTTTTTGTAGGGAGAAGGCTTGCCAGGCGAAAAACCCACCACGTCCTGGAACACTGCCGCCGAACCATTTGCTGGAACGGGAAAATCCCGAACCACTCAGCTGGCACCACGAGGAGGTTGTTCGGCAAGCCAGCCAACTTTGAGTACCGGTCAATCCGGTGTTGGTGTGGCCCTCTGTCTGCGGGCTGTAGGTGCTCTGGTTGATTGCCTCCCGATCAGTATCCGGGTTTGTGAGGTCCGATTGACTGCCTCGTTCGAAGTTTCGTGGAACTAATAGGTATCTCTTCGTCATCGCTTTCTCAGCGCTGGCTGGGGATCTGAACGCTCAACTTGTGAAAGTGTCCGCTGCTGAGCTGTATCTGGGCGGCCAACATGGTGTAGGCTCCGTTAATGATAACGGCGAGCGGTTATTTCATTTGTGTGAAGATGCCCGCTTATTTCTTGCGACCACCAACTTCCGACACAGCACCCGCCGGAGGGTGAAATGGCGCCCACCAGCCTTGGATGCAAATCAATCACAGAGCCGTTAGTTACCCCTGAGGGTCTGCGTTCAAAACTGTCGCTCGATCTGCAGCACATGTGTAGACACTTGTACGTGCTGGTCTGCGGGTGCGTATTGGCGGACGCCCTCGATGACCCTATGAGCGCGTAGGCACCAGCCGACTGGCAAAGCCAAGTGTTCTGAATGCGTGTTGAAATACGCTAATATGCGGGTTGAGTGAGTGCTCATTCATTACGGTTGAAGTTCACTGGTCTCAAGTTCAGCACGCCTTACTAGCAGCAGGTAAATCCTCATGTGGTAAGTCTAATAGCCAACATGGACGTTGGATCTCTTCGCACTCACTGGAACTTATCGATAAGTTATGATAAGTTATTCCTTTCGATACGGGAAGCGGGCAGCAGGGAACCTGATGTTGGTGAAACTATACGTGATAATAGTGGATAGCCCACCCACAGCTTGTCAAAACGCTTGAAGCGTTTGGCTGAGCACATTGAAAAGCAATTTATTCATTCGGGATTGTTTGGTTTCTCCCCGACCACTGATCGCCTTACTGCTTGGGCTGTCCATTTGGATCCGCCCTGTCGCTCACAAATGGAACTTGCGGATGGATTGCTGAAGTTTAAGAAATCCGCGGGACCAGATGATCTTTCTGCAGCCCTTTTCAAATTCGAGGGCCCTGCTCTTGTTGAGGATTTATACGAGTTGTTAGTGAAAATGTGGGAGCAGGTTACTGTCTCGACAGACTGGAGCCACTCCGTTATAGTCCTAACTGTCAAGGGAGGCTCATGATCGGAATGCGACAACCATAGAGGAATCAGTCTGATCTCCATCGCTTCTATGTTGCTTGTCTCTGTCATCATTCACAGACTGATTGGCACTCGTGAAGAGCAAACTGGGTTTTGTCGAGGTCGAGGTTGCGTCGACTGTGTTCACTCTGCGTCGGTTGTTGAAGCACTGTCCCATATATTGGCGGCCCACTGTTATTGTAATCCCCGACATCGAAGGTGCCTTTGGTTCGGTTGGTCGATTTTCCCTTTGTGACTGTCTGTTTAGGAGAGGTTTTCCCGAGCGTTATACGCGAGTAGCTCGGGCAGGCTGAGGCCTTAGGACAAGCTGCTGCAGCCCTTCAGTAGCTCCAGCAGTGTGGGACAAGGATGTCTGTTGTTACAATTTCTCTCCAACTTCGCCATTGACGAAGGAATGGAAATCGCGTTTACTGGACACGACTTAGAAGGTGTGCAGCTTCTCCCAGGTGAACGACTTCTTGACGATATTGCCCATATGTGTGACAGGTCCCAGATGTGCCGAGCTACACTGGACAGATAAGCACTATCTGTTAGTCGTTTTGGGCTTTGGTTTGTGCCCTCGAAATGCGAAGCTTTCCTCCAAGATTGCCAGGGATCGCCTCCTGCGTAAACCCTTGGTGGGGATTAACTAGAAGTCGTTCAAAAATTTAATTACCTGGGTAGTTGTATCAGCACCTTTGGGATCGAAGAGGAGATCTCGAACCGTATAGCAAAGGCTCGAGAGTTACTTTTGCTAACCATCTCCACCTATGGCGCCGGCGCGATATCACTCTTCCCGAAGGGTAGAGTGTACAATGCAGCCGTCGGTTCAACTCTTCTTTATTGTTGTGAAACCTGACCCATTAGATCCGAAATCATAGGTACGCTAGTTAAGTTCGAATATCGGTGCCTTTAGTGTTTTGGCTGTTATCTGGTGGGAACACCGCGTGAGCAACGAGCGTGTTCGACGCTTTTTATGGCGCTGAAGAGGAAATGAACCGATCAGAACCGTTATCTCACACACCCGACTCCCGTGACTTGCGTTGTTTGCGCGCCGGGGGTGTGGATGGAAGAATAACAGAGATGGACAAGCGATGATTTGGTCGAGAGGAATGAGTACCCTTACTTCGACCTTGGCCTCAGTTGGAGCCTCTCGACTTCATAGTTAGAGTCCGAAAGACAATGAACGCGTTTGGCTCGCTACATCTAGTGACGTGGCTAGAAGTCGACCTTATTTACGTTCGTATTGTGGGTTTCTTTGTCCCACCCCATTTTTCTTAGCCTCCCGCTCCAACCGCGATTTCATTTCTTAACATAATACAAATTTTGCATGATAATGTTTTTGCTGTACAGTAGTTTATCATAACTATGTCCATCCGTTACTGGTAGCTCAGCTGGCTTGCACCTGTTGTATGTATTTTACCTTTTCTTATCTATTGCGGAAGTGTAACTGACGTGTTTCCCACCTATAGCTAAGGGGCATAGTGGTGCTTTGTTGGAAAATCATTTCTTGGGAGCCCACCTGGTTGTCATTTGGTTCATACATAAACCTACACCACACCCGCTATGTCAAATTCCAATATACGTGCTTTTGTCAACTGTATTCGCGTTCCGCACATTTCTCCGTGAAATGCATACAAACCATCCTCTTAGCATGAGGTACCCGAAATGTAGGCTAGTCTGAATTGAATTTGTCCGCTCACTTTATATAATGCATTTGAAATCGCTTGTCCACTTAGACTAAGGTTTTCGTGTGGTGGATACATTTCTGTAGTTTCAGTTGGTCTGATTGCAAGAGAATTATTGATTAGGCGCTGTCGCTCACGAACCCAGACGCTGCGAAGCTTTTATTGTCTCAGCAAACATATTCATTTAATCTGATCACCCACGTATCCATACGTTCGCGAGCGTTTTCCTGGGCGTTGCGTGTTGTCCTTGCTCGAAGGCTTTATGGAGCACTGCTTGCGGTCTTCTGGCGTTCCCCTTCTGTTAGGACTCCGGTTTGATCCACTTTCGTGGATCTGGCACTGCTCCGTTTGCCCCTTTCCCTAGTTCACAGGCTCATGGCGCACTATTGTCTATTTTTAGTGAACCACGGTTCTCTCCTTCCGAATTGTCCACAATCGTTGCCTTTGCATGGGGTCTTGTTGCAGACGCGTGGCATAGGAGGGCAGTGGCGGTCCGCCTCGGGTTTTTGTGGTCGCATTCACTGTTAGCTGTATCTATACATATCGGTTATTGGTAATGGTACTGGAGAGTTAACACGAAATGCATGAATCTACCAGTCTCCGTCTTCTTTTCCTGCTTTTCAACTTGTTGTATGGAACTAACTGCTTCCTACTTCTTGCTGAGTGCCATCAAATGTTCACTGGGCTCCTGTGGTCCTAGCGGAGGGGATGGAAAACCCTTGGATTTCTGTTTTCAAGTCCTCACAGTAAAAATGTCGCTTCACATGACCCGCGCATAGGGTATAGGCACCCCAATACACGTCGTTTCATATGGCAAATTGAAACCTGCACAAGTCCGGATGAGTGGATTTCACGCCCGATTTGCACTCATTTTAATCTCTTAGCAATCTAAGTCACTAAGGCTGTGTAGTTTACGGCAACTAGCATGAGCCGCATTCACACTAACGATCAGACAGTGTAAGGTCACCGGCGACGCGGCCTGCTGTGTCCTCTCATAAATGTCCAGACATCACAAATGAGTAGATACGACTATCGGTGCCAGATGCATATCAATGTAACTAGATGGTCGTTAAACCAGGTAAAGGGGTGAACCGAATTCTTGGAGCGCATTCTGGCTTGATCATAAGACGGCTTTGGCACATTGGGTAGGGAATCAGAGTTGGGATCAAGAATACACTCAGTATGGGCCTAGTTGGGATGAAAGGCGCGCAAGTATGGGCGTCACAATTCGTCTTACTTGGAGAACTGGGCGAATTGGGATCTACTCATTCCGACGCATGTGGCTGCGCGGAAAGCACATAAGTCCGACGGCGATAACAAATAGGCACACGCTTTGTTTGGCAAGTCGAAGGTGGAAGGAGTTGAACAAGGAAGAATGCTATTGGAGCGGCCAATCGCCATGGATGACTTGATGCTACTGGTGGACAGCGTGGCCATCAGATGCGAGTGGAACTGATTCTGCACTTCTTCTCATTGGTCATAGTCGTGCGTCAGCGATAGGTAGCATTTTCTGTTGACTGCCAGTATGATCTAGATGAGTTACTTTCCATCTAATGATCTTTAAGTTGTAGGTGTGTAGCAATATATAGGACGACTCTCCTGAATACATGCTATTAGAACGTAGCGGTTATTGCGTGTATCTTCGCGCACTCGATCTCCCAGCTAGTTGCTTCCAGTTCCGAGATGACGATACATCGGCTGGCATTAATTGTCAGGCCAAGTCCTCGAGTCTTTCCACACTATAATCTTTGTGCTCCCATTCTAACCGGCCATTCACTATTGTACGACTGTGTTTCTCTTGAGTTACACTTATAACTATTTGCTGTCTTAAAAAACACAGTAAGAAGACGAAAGCTGCTAGATGCATGCATTTTGTATAAACTCCCCAGTACCATTAGCAATAACCAACATTCTTATGTGTAGCTAATATCGGGTGAGATCAGACAAGGGTGAGGAGTGAATAACAGAAGTTCAGCTTCTACGTCTAGGGCGGTCTTAGACTGACGAATAATTGTTTTTGTACGTTGCCTTCATCCGGCTTATGGTGGCGGCCTCGACAAATCGACGGAAGCCGGGATCAGCATGAAGTAACACTGTCTGTCACACGATGGGGGAGAAGCATTTCAAGATTATGTGCATGTTTCGATTTCGGTTTACTTAGTTCTTTCAATTTATTTATATCGTTAAGTATGGTGCATATTTTTCTGTTCATATTCGGCGTTATTTACGAACAACACTCAACATCTTTTACCAGGTTTCATTACAATCAAGTTCTTCACACCTAGTTCATGTACGCACTGAAGGTGTCATCCTAATTTGACATTATCACTTAGGTTATTTCTTCCCCAATTTGGCTTCTCATAATTGGACGTTTATAAATAATCCGCTTAACTTTCTAGGTGGGATTTTGCAATCAAGTCCCACTTACTGCACTTCTAACTTCAGCGTGTTAGGTTGTACGTTCGATCTATTCACAACGTACTTACTGCGATCACAAGCAAATGGTTTCTTCTCATGGTTGTTTATCTTCAAATTTTCTTATTGTGCTTTTCAAATTGTTTTACGGAACAAATTATCTTAAGTATCTCAAACATATTCATTTTTTTCAGTTCATGAATTATCCCCGTTTGAGTCAGAAGTAAGCAAGTGCGCGAGGAATATTCTTTTCGATAATCCTCATCGGGCGTGTACAATTATGAAGCAAATTCTGTAGAGAATAAAGCTCGTAGAGGCTTGTACAGTGAGCAACCAACTCATTAACTGGGTAGTATGAAAACTAAATCAATGCTTTGATCAATCAGACTGTCGCATTAGGCAGCAGGTGATCAAGGCAGGTCATATGTCAAGTTCAAGGCTAAGGCAATTTCAGAGCCTGTAGCAGTGTGCGCTGTTTGCACAGCTCTGGTTTTAGAACCTTGATTGCAATGGCTTCAGAAATGCTCAACAGATGTTTCTTAAACTGTTTTGGGTAGCATTTAGGGATAGTATAAACGACTTGAAACGACGGATTCATCTGGATTTGATGTCCAATGTCTACCAAGTGTTGTAAAAGGGAACTGTTGGTGGATTTTACTGTGCCTTTTCCTAGTAACGCAGGACAATATTCAGCGATTCTTTTGGACAAACACCTGGTCGTATGTCCATTTTTTCACATTCAGCACAGCGTCCGTATATTTGCAATCAGTGTGGCAAGTCGTTTTCTGTGAAGAGCAAATTGCAAACACATCTCAAGTCTGTTCATTCGAGTGAGTTTAATTGTTGGTGTCAATTTAGTTCATTTTTACCACTTTCGTCGTAACATCCTTGATGATGTCATGTTGCTTCGGTTTGATCAGTCATACTGCTTGCGGTAGATTCCCGTTTTATTGTTCTCACTGTCTAGTCACGTGCTTCCGCCGAATCTTCGATTTTTCAAACCAGCTGTCATACCCATTGCCCTATAGTAGGATGGTCGTTGACTTCAGACACGGTCCCTGTGACTGGAATGGTGAACGTTCACTTTTACTTAGTTAGCATTCCAATTCTGCTTGCCCCACGTCACACATCTGTCACACCAAAGGAGCCAGCAGCAATTCCATTAACGCTGTGACGCGCATCTTCCTAAGAATTCGATAGTGCATTGTTGAAGATATCTGCCCGCAATTTCTACTTTTTTCGGTTACAGTCTGATTTCGATTGTCTCTACCCAAAGCTTATGAAGAAACACGCTACCGGGAACGGGCAACAACGAACGTTTACCCATCTCACATTGACTGACATTCTCATGCAGTACGATTCGTCACTAATTAGTTGATAGGAATCGGATTGAACCATTCCAGCGCACGATTACGCTTCTTGCAATCGGTTGAATTTGACTCCCTCACTGGTAGTCGATTATATCCCACTCCCGATTTCCTGAACAACCGGATCATCATCATCAACAGCAGTACATCAGCCATTTGAACTGATGCTTCGCTGCCATACAATCATGAGGACCTGTGAAATAAAAAGTAAGAAGAGGGAGAGAAGGGGGACTTACCTGAAAACCTTAATGCCTTAATCAAACGTTCAGGGTCAAGGCGCCTACACCTTGTCAAGAACATACCATCACAGACAGCTGGCTATCGTGCAAAAATAAGGCGGCATCGGCGAGACAGGTTCCTTGCGGCTTTCACTGCCACGCGTCACAATCAGCCATTACCCCGCAGATAACCCAGCACCAAACACACTTTGAACAGGCCATCCGATTAGGAGACGGCAGCAGACGCGCCACTGGTGTCGATTGCGAGCCATATCCTGTAAAGTCTTGAGCCAAGCACAAGACGAGTCACGTGGACTCCAACCCGGAAGGCGAGACGGACCAACGGCACCCAGTTTGGTCGTCAGTGACTTCACTTCCCACTGCCAAGTCAACTTCTGTCTACCTCGGGCATTGCGCCACCCTACACCTGGTAGTCTGAACAACGCCCTCCTAGGTAAGCGGTGACCAGGCATAGGTAACATGTTCCCGAGCAAACGCAGTTTATTCAGTGCTATCTGTTGTTCTAGCGAGCTAGCATGTTTATCACTACCCAGTACTCGCCTACGCACATCATCGTTGGGGA